GGGACTGGGGATTTAGCTCAGTGGCAAAAGCGCCTGCCTGGCAAGCGCAAGGTCCTGAGTTCGGTTCCCGGTACCGGAGAAAAAAAAAAAAAAAAAAAAAAAAAAAGACAAAACCAAATGACTAGTCTATAACAAAATAAAAACAAAAGCTAAGGTTTGAAGCTATTTTTAAAGGGAGGGGGCTCACTATGTAGTAGTCCAGGCTGGCCTGAACTTGTTATGTAGCCCAAGCTGACCTCAAACTTGCTATCCTCCTGCCTCAGCCTCCCAAGTGCTAGTTTCACAGGTATGTGTCACATGTGTCACCACTCCAAACTATAATTTTGTGTCTTATTGGTATTTCTTAATTCCCATGAAAATCTAGTACACCACTTGGCAGTCATCTAAAGAAAAAAGCAGCCTGTAATCCCAGCATTTAGGAGGCTGAAGCAGGAGGATCTCTGCGAGTTCAAGGCAAGCCTGAACTGCTTATTGAAACCCTGAGAAAGAAAGGGAGGGAGGGAGAAGCCAGTAGGACTAAATGTTAAAATGTAACATACTGATGAAATCCAAATATTTCTGCCAATACAGTGGACAAAAAGATGGTTCAAGCCTCGGGCATGATGACACATGCATGTAATCCCAGCACTTTGGAGGCTGAGGCAAGAGGACCTCAAATTTAGGTCTAGCCTAGACAGCTCAATGAGACCCTTTCTCACAGTGAAAAATAGAAAGGGCTGGGCGATACAGCTTAGTACAAAGGCCTTGTGATCCATCTCCAGCATCAGGGAAAAAAAGGAAAAAAAGAAAGGAAGAAGGGAGAGGGAGAGAGAGATGTGTCCAATTTTTCCATTAATGTTAAATCTCTTTAGATGTGCTTTTACACATCAGAAATGGTCACTATTAGTTATACATAGTGAGTTTCAAAACACAGCAAGTGCATTTCTTAGCTTAATCCAGTTAAGTTAAAACAAAAACTTAACTTTTTGCTTATAAAAATACTCTATGAGGCTGGGGATACAGCTCAGCGGCACAAGTACCTGCCTGGCAAGCACAAAGTCCCGAGTTTGATTCCCAGTACCAAAAAAAAAAAAAAAAAAACAAAAAAAACCTCATTTCTAAAAATACTTTATGAATATCAAGATAAGAAATGATGCAATGGGAGAAAGTAAGAATGAATAATCCATACACTGAACCCTGAATAATCAAGAATTACATACACTGCCACTTTGAATTTATCTTTTTTTCCTGACAGGTGCTCATATTGCAAAATATTTAGATGTAATTGTTGGTATGTTTGTCCCCCCTCCTAAATTACTGCCACAGGACTGTTTCCCTCTAAGACTACTAAGTCTTACACTGTCCTTATTTTTATTATAGCCTAAGTAACTCTAAGTAATATACCAAAGTTCTGAGACTTATCACATGAAGGTCATACCTTTGTCTCCTAAAATCCTAACAGATTTTATAAAGTAAACTATTTTGTCTTTTAAAGGGAGCTGGGGAGGCACAGACCAACAGATATGGTCATCCACATGGTAATATGGAAATAAATCATGGCCACGTGATCCTCACTGTTTCTGTTTACCTGCCCTTAAGCAATTCATAAAAATCAAACTTGCTAAGGCTAAAGCGTGTAGCTCAGTAATAATGCATGGGTTTAGCTGGGGTTCCATCCCCAGTTCTGCCCCCCAAAAAAGGCTCTGCCAAAACTGCAATTTTTGCCGGGCTTGGTGGCGCATGCCTGTAATCTCAGCACTCAGGAGGCTTAGGCAGGTGGATCACTGCAAGTTCAAGACCAGCCTGGGCTACAAAGTGAGTTCAAGGCCAACCTGAATTGCATAGTGAGACCCCGTTTCAAAAAGACAAAACTGCAATTTTCCTCCAACTTAGTTTTTAAGCAGCCTTTAAATATTTCGTAGTGTGGGTGTGGTGACACACATCTGTAACCCCACTTAGGAGGTTGAGGCAGGGGGATTACCATGAGTTCAAGGCCAGCCTGCGCTATGCACTACATAGGAAATGCAAAGCCAACCTAGACATTGTGAGACCCTGTGCCAGATAAAACAAGTCCCCTCGACAAAAACAAAAGATATTTCATAAATATAATGTGTTAAGGAATCAACAGTAAGGAATATAAAAAGTGTATCAGCTCTGAAAAGCAGAGTACTAAATAATTAATTTTTGGTGTAAAAGAAGTCTTTCTAGTTCAAATTTTTTTGCACGGCACAAACTATACAGATTAATGATCCCTAATATCCAAACCCAAAGTTCTCTGATATCGAAAACCTTCTGAGCACCAACGCAGTGCCCAAAAGTTTCAAATCTTGGAACACTTCCAATTGCAGAGCAGGAGTGCTTGAACAGTGAAGTCCATGCAAGTATGCTAAATTCCAAAAACACTCCAAAAGCTATGACTTTTCGGCCTTTTGGCTAAAATCAAGTACAAAAACCTCCAAAATCTAAGCTATTAAGATAAGGGATACCCAATTTGTACTAATGGGAACTAATGGGAATTTGATAACTGGGTATAATTCATGTTTGTTGCTTTTTTTTTCTGTTTCTGAGATAGTTCTTGCTATGTGGTTCAGACTGGCCTTGAACTTGTGGCAATCCTCCCGCCTCAGTCTACTAAACACTAGGATTACAGCCATGTACCACAACGCTTGGCTAGGAATTTGATAATTAGGAACCAAAGTAAATAGAAAAGCAAAACCTAAGATGAAATCTCTCAAAACAAGGTGCCTACATTTTTAAAAGAATAATATATCAGGGTCTGACAGAGAGTAAAATATATTGAACTAGACAACTTCCTATTCCACCAAAAGGCATTTTAAAAGTTTCTAAAAATTAAAAATTCATCCAGGCAATTAAAAGCATCCACCATGTGCCAAGCACGGTGCTAAAGCACTGGGAACATAGTGAATGAAACAAGAGAGCAGTGCTGCTTGACCTTATGTAACTACCTATATAAAAAAAGTGAAACTATTTAATTCCACTAGAAGGTACTTAACTCTATGGACACCTAATATTATTAAATGTAAAAAAAAAAAAGATAAGTTGCATGTATCTTGTGAATTCTTACTATTTTAATCATAAAATAACTAGTTTGTCACTAAAACAGTGTATCAGAACAACAAAAATGATAAATATTAAGGCTGCATTGTAATTTAAAAGGGGGGGGGTAGCAGGTCAATGTTTAAATTGACACAGGATGTGTGTATGTGTGTGTGTGTGTGTGTGTGTGTGAGCACATGCAGTACAATGTGCAATGTGAACTGAACTCCAGACCTTCATACTGATCTACATCCCCAACCCACTTTTTTTTTTGAGACAAGTTCTCACACTAAGCTTCCCAGGATGCACTGAAACTTAAGATCCTCCTGCCTCTGCCTCCCAGAGTGCTGGTATTACAAAACTGCATCACTGGGAATTTTTAAAGAATATAAACTTTAATCTACATAAAGTATGAAAATGTTTCATTTTTATTTTAAATATGCCTGCATATAATCTCCCTCCCGCCAAGATACCATGAAATTCTTGTTCCAAAGCACTTAAAACCAACTGACCTAAACTGAGAAGCCTAAAAGTATAAGAAATAATGCTCAAATAAAAGTGTGAGTTTCAAAAGCAAAATCCCCATGTCATTTCTGGGCTACTTCAGGTTATTGATTTAAAAAAAAAAAAAAATATGCTCAAAGATCACAAGGTGGAGCTCTCACCTAGTTT